GACGAACCTACGTGAAAAAACAATAAAACCTTTAGTCATAAATCAACTTAAATGTTAAAGACTAAACCAAGTCAATATTAACTTAGAAGCTGGTTTGCAACGCATCTGGATTATTTGTTTATTGTGTTTTAATAATGAAGTGCCCAGTGTGTAACAAAGAAGTTTACTTCGGTGAGTATTTTATAGTGGCTTTTTATTGAACAGCTGAACGCATTGAAACACTGGGTAAGGACTGGCATCGCAGCTGTTTAAAGTGTGGAAGATGTTACAGATCGATTACACCAGGTTATCATTGCAAGGTAGGTGTAATGCATGTTAGAACATTGCGAATAAAGGATAATTTGACAGATATGCTTACATTAACTCATATAATAGCACAGTTTTGTTACTATGCTATGAATATACATGGAGAAATTATATTCCATAAAACTCTAAAATTTGCTTAGAAAACATCAAATTTCATCACTTTTTTCTTATTTAGTTTCACCATTTTACACTAATTTTATCACGTTCCATTAGGATATCTTTTCCTCAATAAAATTATTTGTTGTCAAGTTCAATCGCTGTTGCATCTACACATAGTTGTACGTATCTCAATGTATAATTCTGTGCTACGAACAATGTAAGTGACGATACATTCACACTGATACAGGGTCAAAATGACAGGGGATTCCAACGGGTATCATCTGTAATTCTACATGATAAATCTTAATCTCATCGTCACATTTTCGTCAAACACCATGACGATCAGTAGCTTCTCTGAGTTATTTTTTGAATCTGCTTTATTTTTTTATCTTGAAGTCAAAAGGTTACAATATGTGAAATGTAATGACAATGTAGGTGAGATTATTATTCACAAATTACTACACACTTCACTTCATGAAAATCTTCATTGGACCAGATATCTTTAAAATATAACTGTATTTAATCCTTACCTAAAAATGTTTGATTGGTCTACTAACAATACCGTTATCGAAAAGCCTGAAAGTTCATCTAGTATTTAGTTAACGCTCTGAAAAACTCTACAACACACTGGACTTTTATTACATAGTGTCACTTCAAAACAGCACGACCCCTACATTATGATAGATTTGATAATCATATCTAGAGAATGAGCACAGATCTACGTTAACACCTTGATTGGTCTCCCCACTAGTCTCTGCTGAATATCCAAGAAGATAGTTATCTCGATTTACTTTACGGCTTTGAAGCGACAGGCTACTTAGTACGACCTTGAGACTTTTAACTTGTGACTGAAAGACCTTTATAGTAGAGAGAAGAAACTATCCTACTACTGAAATTTGACCTGATTAATTGGTAAGCGAAGGAAATAAATGATTTAGCTGGAATATTTACTCGATTTGTTATTGATTCAACTACCGTAAGAAAGGTACATAAATATATAACTAACGAAACCTCAACACACAGGGAATGTAAAAAATTTTCACATTATTATTATTAATATTATTATTATTATTATTGTCATTATTATTATTATTATTATTATTATTATTGTTATTATTATTATTATTATTATTATTATTATTATTATTATTATTATTATTATTATTATTATTATTATTAATGTGAAAAATACAATCACATCCAAACGAGGACACTACAGTAGAATGAATGGAATACAAGAACCATGTTTGAATGTTTTAATTTTGAAAAGTAAGACACAGTAATTTATATGTTATAAAAATACTTAAAATTTCCCAAATAAAGCAAGTACAAAACTAAATGTTAATATTGTACAGATTCAGAATTAGGTGAAAGTGTCCCAAAAAATCGCTTTCGTTGTTTATCCCTGCTTCTTTATTCATATCATAACATCAGTTTAGTAATATCTATTTATCATAATTTATATGAAGTCACATTTCACTAGCAACATAACCGAAACTAGTGGTAATCAGGGTCATAAGATAATATACCACACCACAAAATGTTTTTCTTAATGCAAACATCATTACATTTCAGCGTAATGGCCGAATTTATTGTTATAAACCTTGTTACATGACTCTGTATGGACCAAGAGGTGAGTAGTTGGTAGTTTGATAGCCTTCGTTTTCTAATAAAATAAATGTTCATTATTCGACATTTATTAAAACAATTTACGTAGAAATTATTTGTTGGTTGTAAACTCGCCTATCGACCAATTTGTCGTAGATCCGAACTTCACCCTACCTATTTCAGCTTGGGTAACTGATATATCAATAGTTCTGACATGTTACTCGAACCTGCACGTAAATATCTATAATTGATAGATGACTTTCTACTAAAACAATATGAAAAAGATCTGAAAAAAATCTTAAATTATACCCTACTGAAAGCACTACTTAATCAATATGTACCACGTAGGATTTCGTTAACAACATGAGTGATGATATACCAGAACAATGTCACACGATACATTGTTGCTCCAGGTTGTAAACAATAGTACTTTGTCGTGATTTTAGATTAGAGTGGAGATGATGCAATGAATTAATATACATGTTAGTGTATTTCTTAATGCACACCAGCATATACGGATATACGTGCATTAAAAAAAAATATTGAAACCACAACTAACTCAACGCTTTAATTTACTTCACTGGTTACTCATTCGAAAGTTCGTCTAACTGTTTTTATTACTTGATGATCTATAAAACAAAATCTGATAGACGTGATTAATATGTACGGAAATAAGAAAGCATGCTACTCGTGTGTATGAACTTCATAGGACAACACAGGATAAACGTCAGGTAAGATATGGAAAGTTTAGATAATTAAAATGGCAAACAGAAGTAGCTGCCCTATAACATAATTACTATATAAAATAATGCCGATTTCCATGAATTATATCTGCTCAAATAAAAAGACTACTGCAGAAGATGTTTTCGTTTCTCTATTTCATTTTAAAAATAAACACCGATGTATATCAAAATGAGAAAACCGAAACATGAAAATTGAGGTTGGTTTCTGTCTTCACAAAAGGAATAATGAAACAAGAAATTTCTATACACTTTTACTTATCATTTCATTCAGGCTATGGTGCGGTTCCAAACACTGAAAATTACTCATAACAGAATGAACGTGGATGATAATTGGGACGAATTGTCATTATTGACACTGTTTGCAAGACTCATGAAATAGATTTATTTAATTACTACTTATCTCTGTGATTTTAATACCATATACTTTGAAATAAAATCGCTTATCATAAGATGCGTGTTTTTCGTTCTATACCACAATGATCCGGGGTTAAATGATAGTGAGAGGTGCTAAAGGTTATCTTTAGTAGACCATGATGCACTTTGGTTTACTGAATAACGATCATCGTTGATAACTAATTTTCAAAGAAATTATCAGTAGAAATTTGGAGAAACGTAACACAAATAGAATAAAATCAAACAGGTAAACTTCAGGTAAGGAGTAGAAATTCTCACATCGTAACTATAAAACTCAGAAGGGTTCTTTTACCCAGAACGAGATTAACTCAGATAAATAATTCCTCAATATTTACATACATTTTTCAGATAACACCTATGCATCATGGCGCTGGAACAGTAAAGTAGGAATCTCTTCCTATTATGCTAAGTGCTACAACTTTGGAATTAGCTTCTCTTTCACACTTGAGAAGCGAACAAAGATCGACAGTCAAAAGGGACGGTGGATCCACCAATTCCTCAAAACTGTTATAACCCGATGAAAACTATAAGTGGTAGATTTTGAGAACTATTTATGGACCAATACAATGCATATATTTTTATTGTATAGTTGTTATGTAACTAAACTATGCATATTCAATTTCCTCCTATTATAAGCTTTGTCTTGACCCATAGACTATTATTATGCGATTTACTGTTATTGAATTATGCTCAGTCTATTAATTACAATCTCCCACATTCACAGACACTTTTGGCCAGATCTTGTACAAATATTGTTTTCTATTTTGTGGTGAGATGTGGTCTGTTTGGTTTGCATATAAATACAGTATGTTTGAAATACATGACTCATATTTCAGAGGCTGAGATTGGTGTTTTGGACTCAACAGGCATTGCTAGTCAGGGAGACGGTCTGATAAGGTTTCTAGACCACTCGTACGGGTTTACGCGTCATTGGTCTGGTCGATATGTCGCAGTTCTTTAATTGGTGGTATCATTACGTTATATATGAAAAACGTTAGTGTAAGCTTAAATTTAGCAAAAGTCCAGGGTAAAAGAGGTGACCGTATCAACTTTCGAACTCATATGTCTTACTTATTTGTGTGGATTCTTGCGGGTTTGTTTGTAAGAGGTAAATTGTAGCAATGTAAGTTGCCCATGATATGTGTTTTTAGGAGAAAAGAGTTGGTGAACTTGAATAGATCATTATTATCTCTTAAATTCACTGCTGTTTTTCGCAATGAACTATCTTACGTGTATATCGTACTGCAATCCAGTGTCTCACTATACAAGGAAACTGAAGAATGAATACAGTTCTTTCCGTCTTCAAATCTGTTTCCTCTCTTTGTGGCGCATATGTATTTGGTTCCCCGTTGTGCCAATCGTCTGTATCCAAATAATAGTAATAATATACCTTAATACAACGATGTGGCCGAAGTAACCACTTCTCACCGTCAATTACGGACTTACAACTGAGAGTGAAAAGTAAAACAAATTTTAAGCAGCGAGTTTATTTCATAAGTTAAAACATCAAAATCAAGTAATTTAACAGTACTTGAGGGAGCGATCTATTGAAATTGTCTGAATAAGAGACATCAAAAGTAGTCACGTAGAATGTATAAACAAAACTTGAAATAACAAATTTGTTATCTATTTGTAGATGTGACTGCTGGCCACTGATCCGTAACCTGAAAACAAAATGTGCCAATATAGTAGATGAATATTAATTTTTGACAGTGACTTTCTCCTACACAATTTTTTTTCTAAAATAGACAAAATCAGGACCGATATTTCACTCCACTTAAAAACATACCTTTGCAAGTTGAAGGCAATATACACAGCCCCCCTATCTACTATCTTGCAATACTGGGGACCTGCCTGTAGTTAATCTTGTTATTGTCGTCTTAAAGTGCCTAATTTACTTCACATATACTCAGGACGACAGTTGTTTTCATGAGCACATACAATACTAACTTCTCAATAACACACAATTTAATCAGACTACACATTATTTGAATAGAGAGATATAGAAGCTATGACGAACAAAGGGAGCTAATCTTGAGGACATTATTAAACTTAATTCTAAGTCTGTAAAATACTTACATTTCGTTTAGTTTCTGAATTATTTCATAAAGCGTAAGCTTCCGTTTGATGCATAATACACTGCCATACCTTTTTCCATTCCAAAGCTATTGTAATTTATACGTAACAATTTGCACTCTACTTTTTTACCCTAATGCTTAGTTTGAATATAATTGTATTTTTCTGATTGTTTGTACGTTGTGATCGTGTTAGTCATATATTTATTCATATATCTCGATTCGGACTCACGCAATTCTAGCCTCAAGGTTGAACCAGTTAGCCTACCGTGTCAAAGCCTTAACCTAGATCGAGGAAATTCTTCTCCTGTATGTTCTGGGCAGACAGATGAAGGACGTAACAACACAATGTTCACTAGCTTATACCTCATTCTAAATATGTCAGTGATACACAACTTAATACTGCAAGTGGAAGTTCGTACTAAACGCATTTGCGACCAAATTGAATGCTACACATTCTAGCACCTGTCAAGCTTTCAAATCAACTTATTAACAAACAGAACCGATTACTTGATGATCACTCACCTTTGGGTCCAAACAGGGCTTGGTAACACGGAGTCTGACAATAGGGTTTACCATCATGCTGAAATATAAATAAATATCATATTGATTAGCAGTTGCAAAAAGTCACTCTATTATGTCCTTAGTTTACATCAACTCCATAATAAAATTTACATTTCTTATACACAACCACAACATCCGAACAATATACTTAACATTTTAATTCTCATTATGTCTCACTGAACAAAACACTGAGAAAGTTCATTGACTAACACTTTTCTGTTGAAAAGAATTAATTGATATGTTGTAAAATGCTATGTGGATAGTGATATCTCATCGGCTTCAGACCAGCAGTACGAAACCAAAGCTATCACACTGATACACCGTTTACTATTTCAAAAAGACCAGTTCACACTACCGTTTCGGTGAATGTAATGACCAAAACTAACACTACTAAAGAACGTGACAAAGAACATTCCACAGAACCCACTAGGAGATCCTAATCAATGAGAATAATATTCAAGATAACACATTTTCACAGATTGCTCATAGGCATTAATAAGACTTACGCGGTTGTGCCGTACTTCTTTATCATTCTATTTTTTGTGTCTCTCAGTAAATACTCCTTCGAATCAGTATAAAGTAAATGAAGAAAAAAACCCCACCAGTCATCTTTCAAGTATTGCTAGAACGATTTGACTTGAAAATTTCAAATAAATTGACCTTCCAATAGATTGCTCACAATAATACCTTATTCGTAATAATCCAATGAGTAAAACGTCGGATTTATGACACCTTGCGACTTAGTGAAAGTCACTTTTTCCAGAGAACAAATAACTAGCAAGTCAGTTTAAATAAAAGCACAGGAAATAAATTAGACCAAATATTTGCCAAATACAAACAAGTAGTCATACTAATGTTATATTAGGTCAAGGGTGAATCGACGCGAAGCGAAGCTGAATCAAATAAGAAGTGAAAATAAGATAAATTGAAGTAATCATGTTGACAAGAAAGATAATTATTTAATGGGATGCAAAATTAGGCAGTATGAAGTGATGGATACTCTCAGACGTACTTCCCGTTTGAACAATACTATAATTATTTTAAGCCAACTTATTCATGAAAACAATACGGTAAACAAAGACACTTACTTCACAGTGGGAACCCGCAGTCAGCGTTTTTTTGCACTTTTCGCATTTCAAACACGGACGATGCCAGTCTTTTCCAAGTGAACTGACCCGCTCAGCTATTTAATATAATTGCATACTATTAAACCTACCAAAGTAGACCTCCTTATTGCATGAAGGGCATTTCATGGCTGATAAACCCAGGTAACAAAAACAGAAGGGAGAAATTATACCGACAAAACGCTAGCACGACCTACAGCTTACACAACGTAACTTCTCTCATGCTTTTATTGTTTATCCAATCGTATCGGTCTCACCGTCATGTCACATGGTTTTCTGACCACTATTTTCAAGGCCATCAACGACCAATTAAAATCACACTTGAGCAGTTGAAGTCCAATGAAATGAATCTGATTGATAGGGGTGTATTGATCAAGTCATACATGAATATGTAGTGACAGATACGTATCTTCAATATATTTCTCTGTCCTCTTGTTTATACCGCATACTATACGAACAACTAGTAGAGCAAGTGAGCTGAACATCTTGATTGAGGACCATACATGCAACGTGTGATTTGAGTGCGATGGGAGAGTGTACGGATTAAGAAATGATCTACTTCCCGGAAATATATTGAAAGTTAACAAGCGACGTTAAACATGAATTTGAAGTATTCTCTCTTCAGAATCTGCACTTACGTAGAGGACAAACTGAAACATCTGTTATCAGTGTCCATGTTTTGCAGATTCTGAATTATTTTAGTATGGAAATATTAGTGAAAAATCTATTAGTATAGGGAATGAAAAACTATTTCTGAATTCGGAATACCAGTCAAAATGGTGGCAAGTCAATAAACAATATGTATGTGTATGTAGATCAACTTTTTCCCTTAAATGTAATAAGATGTTTTCTGAGTATCATTGATTGGGTTAGTTATTGAGATATATCCTGTACATATGAGAATGAGAATGAAAAACGTTAGTGTAAGCTTAAATTTAGCAAAAGTCCAGGGTAAAAGAGGTGACCGTATCAACTTTCGAACTCATATGTCTTACTTATTTGTGTGGATTCTTGCGGGTTTGTTTGTAAGAGGTAAATTGTAGCAATGTAAGTTGCCCATGATATGTGTTTTTAGGAGAAAAGAGTTGGTGAACTTGAATAGATCATTATTATCTCTTAAATTCACTGCTGTTTTTCGCAATGAACTATCTTACGTGTATATCGTACTGCAATCCAGTGTCTCACTATACAAGGAAACTGAAGAATGAATACAGTTCTTTCCGTCTTCAAATCTGTTTCCTCTCTTTGTGGCGCATATGTATTTGGTTCCCCGTTGTGCCAATCGTCTGTATCCAAATAATAGTAATAATATACCTTAATACAACGATGTGGCCGAAGTAACCACTTCTCACCGTCAATTACGGACTTACAACTGAGAGTGAAAAGTAAAACAAATTTTAAGCAGCGAGTTTATTTCATAAGTTAAAACATCAAAATCAAGTAATTTAACAGTACTTGAGGGAGCGATCTATTGAAATTGTCTGAATAAGAGACATCAAAAGTAGTCACGTAGAATGTATAAACAAAACTTGAAATAACAAATTTGTTATCTATTTGTAGATGTGACTGCTGGCCACTGATCCGTAACCTGAAAACAAAATGTGCCAATATAGTAGATGAATATTAATTTTTGACAGTGACTTTCTCCTACACAATTTTTTTTCTAAAATAGACAAAATCAGGACCGATATTTCACTCCACTTAAAAACATACCTTTGCAAGTTGAAGGCAATATACACAGCCCCCCTATCTACTATCTTGCAATACTGGGGACCTGCCTGTAGTTAATCTTGTTATTGTCGTCTTAAAGTGCCTAATTTACTTCACATATACTCAGGACGACAGTTGTTTTCATGAGCACATACAATACTAACTTCTCAATAACACACAATTTAATCAGACTACACATTATTTGAATAGAGAGATATAGAAGCTATGACGAACAAAGGGAGCTAATCTTGAGGACATTATTAAACTTAATTCTAAGTCTGTAAAATACTTACATTTCGTTTAGTTTCTGAATTATTTCATAAAGCGTAAGCTTCCGTTTGATGCATAATACACTGCCATACCTTTTTCCATTCCAAAGCTATTGTAATTTATACGTAACAATTTGCACTCTACTTTTTTACCCTAATGCTTAGTTTGAATATAATTGTATTTTTCTGATTGTTTGTACGTTGTGATCGTGTTAGTCATATATTTATTCATATATCTCGATTCGGACTCACGCAATTCTAGCCTCAAGGTTGAACCAGTTAGCCTACCGTGTCAAAGCCTTAACCTAGATCGAGGAAATTCTTCTCCTGTATGTTCTGGGCAGACAGATGAAGGACGTAACAACACAATGTTCACTAGCTTATACCTCATTCTAAATATGTCAGTGATACACAACTTAATACTGCAAGTGGAAGTTCGTACTAAACGCATTTGCGACCAAATTGAATGCTACACATTCTAGCACCTGTCAAGCTTTCAAATCAACTTATTAACAAACAGAACCGATTACTTGATGATCACTCACCTTTGGGTCCAAACAGGGCTTGGTAACACGGAGTCTGACAATAGGGTTTACCATCATGCTGAAATATAAATAAATATCATATTGATTAGCAGTTGCAAAAAGTCACTCTATTATGTCCTTAGTTTACATCAACTCCATAATAAAATTTACATTTCTTATACACAACCACAACATCCGAACAATATACTTAACATTTTAATTCTCATTATGTCTCACTGAACAAAACACTGAGAAAGTTCATTGACTAACACTTTTCTGTTGAAAAGAATTAATTGATATGTTGTAAAATGCTATGTGGATAGTGATATCTCATCGGCTTCAGACCAGCAGTACGAAACCAAAGCTATCACACTGATACACCGTTTACTATTTCAAAAAGACCAGTTCACACTACCGTTTCGGTGAATGTAATGACCAAAACTAACACTACTAAAGAACGTGACAAAGAACATTCCACAGAACCCACTAGGAGATCCTAATCAATGAGAATAATATTCAAGATAACACATTTTCACAGATTGCTCATAGGCATTAATAAGACTTACGCGGTTGTGCCGTACTTCTTTATCATTCTATTTTTTGTGTCTCTCAGTAAATACTCCTTCGAATCAGTATAAAGTAAATGAAGAAAAAAACCCCACCAGTCATCTTTCAAGTATTGCTAGAACGATTTGACTTGAAAATTTCAAATAAATTGACCTTCCAATAGATTGCTCACAATAATACCTTATTCGTAATAATCCAATGAGTAAAACGTCGGATTTATGACACCTTGCGACTTAGTGAAAGTCACTTTTTCCAGAGAACAAATAACTAGCAAGTCAGTTTAAATAAAAGCACAGGAAATAAATTAGACCAAATATTTGCCAAATACAAACAAGTAGTCATACTAATGTTATATTAGGTCAAGGGTGAATCGACGCGAAGCGAAGCTGAATCAAATAAGAAGTGAAAATAAGATAAATTGAAGTAATCATGTTGACAAGAAAGATAATTATTTAATGGGATGCAAAATTAGGCAGTATGAAGTGATGGATACTCTCAGACGTACTTCCCGTTTGAACAATATTATAATTATTTTAAGCCAACTTATTCATGAAAACAATACGGTAAACAAAGACACTTACTTCACAGTGGGAACCCGCAGTCAGCGTTTTTTTGCACTTTTCGCATTTCAAACACGGACGATGCCAGTCTTTTCCAAGTGAACTGACCCGCTCAGCTATTTAATATAATTGCATACTATTAAACCTACCAAAGTAGACCTCCTTATTGCATGAAGGGCATTTCATGGCTGATAAACCCAGGTAACAAAAACAGAAGGGAGAAATTATACCGACAAAACGCTAGCACGACCTACAGCTTACACAACGTAACTTCTCTCATGCTTTTATTGTTTATCCAATCGTATCGGTCTCACCGTCATGTCACATGGTTTTCTGACCACTATTTTCAAGGCCATCAACGACCAATTAAAATCACACTTGAGCAGTTGAAGTCCAATGAAATGAATCTGATTGATAGGGGTGTATTGATCAAGTCATACATGAATATGTAGTGACAGATACGTATCTTCAATATATTTCTCTGTCCTCTTGTTTATACCGCATACTATACGAACAACTAGTAGAGCAAGTGAGCTGAACATCTTGATTGAGGACCATACATGCAACGTGTGATTTGAGTGCGATGGGAGAGTGTACGGATTAAGAAATGATCTACTTCCCGGAAATATATTGAAAGTTAACAAGCGACGTTAAACATGAATTTGAAGTATTCTCTCTTCAGAATCTGCACTTACGTAGAGGACAAACTGAAACATCTGTTATCAGTGTCCATGTTTTGCAGATTCTGAATTATTTTAGTATGGAAATATTAGTGAAAAATCTATTAGTATAGGGAATGAAAAACTATTTCTGAATTCGGAATACCAGTCAAAATGGTGGCAAGTCAATAAACAATATGTATGTGTATGTAGATCAACTTTTTCCCTTAAATGTAATAAGATGTTTTCTGAGTATCATTGATTGGGTTAGTTATTGAGATATATCCTGTACATATGAGAATGAGAATGAAAAACGTTAGTGTAAGCTTAAATTTAGCAAAAGTCCAGGGTAAAAGAGGTGACCGTATCAACTTTCGAACTCATATGTCTTACTTATTTGTGTGGATTCTTGCGGGTTTGTTTGTAAGAGGTAAATTGTAGCAATGTAAGTTGCCCATGATATGTGTTTTTAGGAGAAAAGAGTTGGTGAACTTGAATAGATCATTATTATCTCTTAAATTCACTGCTGTTTTTCGCAATGAACTATCTTACGTGTATATCGTACTGCAATCCAGTGTCTCACTATACAAGGAAACTGAAGAATGAATACAGTTCTTTCCGTCTTCAAATCTGTTTCCTCTCTTTGTGGCGCATATGTATTTGGTTCCCCGTTGTGCCAATCGTCTGTATCCAAATAATAGTAATAATATACCTTAATACAACGATGTGGCCGAAGTAACCACTTCTCACCGTCAATTACGGACTTACAACTGAGAGTGAAAAGTAAAACAAATTTTAAGCAGCGAGTTTATTTCATAAGTTAAAACATCAAAATCAAGTAATTTAACAGTACTTGAGGGAGCGATCTATTGAAATTGTCTGAATAAGAGACATCAAAAGTAGTCACGTAGAATGTATAAACAAAACTTGAAATAACAAATTTGTTATCTATTTGTAGATGTGACTGCTGGCCACTGATCCGTAACCTGAAAACAAAATGTGCCAATATAGTAGATGAATATTAATTTTTGACAGTGACTTTCTCCTACACAATTTTTTTTCTAAAATAGACAAAATCAGGACCGATATTTCACTCCACTTAAAAACATACCTTTGCAAGTTGAAGGCAATATACACAGCCCTCCTATCTACTATCTTGCAATACTGGGGACCTGCCTGTAGTTAATCTTGTTATTGTCGTCTTAAAGTGCCTAATTTACTTCACATATACTCAGGACGACAGTTGTTTTCATGAGCACATACAATACTAACTTCTCAATAACACACAATTTAATCAGACTACACATTATTTGAATAGAGAGATATAGAAGCTATGACGAACAAAGGGAGCTAATCTTGAGGACATTATTAAACTTAATTCTAAGTCTGTAAAATACTTACATTTCGTTTAGTTTCTGAATTATTTCATAAAGCGTAAGCTTCCGTTTGATGCATAATACACTGCCATACCTTTTTCCATTCCAAAGCTATTGTAATTTATACGTAACAATTTGCACTCTACTTTTTTACCCTAATGCTTAGTTTGAATATAATTGTATTTTTCTGATTGTTTGTACGTTGTGATCGTGTTAATCATATATTTATTCATATATCTCGATTCGGACTCACGCAATTCTAGCCTCAAGGTTGAACCAGTTAGCCTACCGTGTCAAAGCCTTAACCTAGATCGAGGAAATTCTTCTCCTGTATGTTCTGGGCAGACAGATGAAGGACGTAACAACACAATGTTCACTAGCTTATACCTCATTCTAAATATGTCAGTGATACACAACTTAATACTGCAAGTGGAAGTTCGTACTAAACGCATTTGCGACCAAATTGAATGCTACACATTCTAGCACCTGTCAAGCTTTCAAATCAACTTATTAACAAACAGAACCGATTACTTGATGATCACTCACCTTTGGGTCCAAACAGGGCTTGGTAACACGGAGTCTGACAATAGGGTTTACCATCATGCTGAAATATAAATAAATATCATATTGATTAGCAGTTGCAAAAAGTCACTCTATTATGTCCTTAGTTTACATCAACTCCATAATAAAATTTACATTTCTTATACACAACCACAACATCCGAACAATATACTTAACATTTTAATTCTCATTATGTCTCACTGAACAAAACACTGAGAAAGTTCATTGACTAACACTTTTCTGTTGAAAAGAATTAATTGATATGTTGTAAAATGCTATGTGGATAGTGATATCTCATCGGCTTCAGACCAGCAGTACGAAACCAAAGCTATCACACTGATACACCGTTTACTATTTCAAAAAGACCAGTTCACACTACCGTTTCGGTGAATGTAATGACCAAAACTAACACTACTAAAGAACGTGACAAAGAACATTCCACAGAACCCACTAGGAGATCCTAATCAATGAGAATAATATTCAAGATAACACATTTTCACAGATTGCTCATAGGCATTAATAAGACTTACGCGGTTGTGCCGTACTTCTTTATCATTCTATTTTTTGTGTCTCTCAGTAAATACTCCTTCGAATCAGTATAAAGTAAATGAAGAAAAAAACCCCACCAGTCATCTTTCAAGTATTGCTAGAACGATTTGACTTGAAAATTTCAAATAAATTGACCTTCCAATAGATTGCTCACAATAATACCTTATTCGTAATAATCCAATGAGTAAAACGTCGGATTTATGACACCTTGCGACTTAGTGAAAGTCACTTTTTCCAGAGAACAAATAACTAGCAAGTCAGTTTAAATAAAAGCACAGGAAATAAATTAGACCAAATATTTGCCAAATACAAACAAGTAGTCATACTAATGTTATATTAGGTCAAGGGTGAATCGACGCGAAGCGAAGCTGAATCAAATAAGAAGTGAAAATAAGATAAATTGAAGTAATCATGTTGACAAGAAAGATAATTATTTAATGGGATGCAAAATTAGGCAGTATGAAGTGATGGATACTCTCAGACGTACTTCCCGTTTGAACAATATTATAATTATTTTAAGCCAACTTATTCATGAAAACAATACGGTAAACAAAGACACTTACTTCACAGTGGGAACCCGCAGTCAGCGTTTTTTTGCACTTTTCGCATTTCAAACACGGACGATGCCAGTCTTTTCCAAGTGAACTGACCCGCTCAGCTATTTAATATAATTGCATACTATTAAACCTACCAAAGTAGACCTCCTTATTGCATGAAGGGCATTTCATGGCTGATAAACCCAGGTAACAAAAACAGAAGGGAGAAATTATACCGACAAAACGCTAGCACGACCTACAGCTTACACAACGTAACTTCTCTCATGCTTTTATTGTTTATCCAATCGTATCGGTCTCACCGTCATGTCACATGGTTTTCTGACCACTATTTTCAAGGCCATCAACGACCAATTAAAATCACACTTGAGCAGTTGAAGTCCAATGAAATGAATCTGATTGATAGGGGTGTATTGATCAAGTCATACATGAATATGTAGTGACAGATACGTATCTTCAATATATTTCTCTGTCCTCTTGTTTATACCGCATACTATACGAACAACTAGTAGAGCAAGTGAGCTGAACATCTTGATTGAGGACCATACATGCAACGTGTGATTTGAGTGCGATGGGAGAGTGTACGGATTAAGAAATGATCTACTTCCCGGAAATATATTGAAAGTTAACAAGCGACGTTAAACATGAATTTGAAGTATTCTCTCTTCAGAATCTGCACTTACGTAGAGGACAAACTGAAACATCTGTTATCAGTGTCCATGTTTTGCAGATTCTGAATTATTTTAGTATGGAAATATTAGTGAAAAATCTATTAGTATAGGGAATGAAAAACTATTTCTGAATTCGGAATACCAGTCAAAATGGTGGCAAGTCAATAAACAATATGTATGTGTATGTAGATCAACTTTTTCCCTTAAATGTAATAAGATGTTTTCTGAGTATCATTGATTGGGTTAGTTATTGAGATATATCCTGTACATATGAGAATGAGAATGAAAAACGTTAGTGTAAGCTTAAATTTAGCAAAAGTCCAGGGTAAAAGAGGTGACCGTATCAACTTTCGAACTCATATGTCTTACTTATTTGTGTGGATTCTTGCGGGTTTGTTTGTAAGAGGTAAATTGTAGCAATGTAAGTTGCCCATGATATGTGTTTTTAGGAGAAAAGAGTTGGTGAACTTGAATAGATCATTATTATCTCTTAAATTCACTGCTGTTTTTCGCAATGAACTATCTTACGTGTATATCGTACTGCAATCCAGTGTCTCACTATACAAGGAAACTGAAGAATGAATACAGTTCTTTCCGTCTTCAAATCTGTTTCCTCTCTTTGTGGCGCATATGTATTTGGTTCCCCGTTGTGCCAATCGTCTGTATCCAAATAATAGTAATAATATACCTTAATACAACGATGTGGCCGAAGTAACCACTTCTCACCGTCAATTACGGACTTACAACTGAGAGTGAAAAGTAAAACAAATTTTAAGCAGCGAGTTTATTTCATAAGTTAAAACATCAAAATCAAGTAATTTAACAGTACTTGAGGGAGCGATCTATTGAAATTGTCTGAATAAGAGACATCAAAAGTAGTCACGTAGAATGTATAAACAAAACTTGAAATAACAAATTTGTTATCTATTTGTAGATGTGACTGCTGGCCACTGATCCGTAACCTGAAAACAAAATGTGCCAATATAGTAGATGAATATTAATTTTTGACAGTGACTTTCTCCTACACAATTTTTTTTCTAAAATAGACAAAATCAGGACCGATATTTCACTCCACTTAAAAACATACCTTTGCAAGTTGAAGGCAATATACACAGCCCTCCTATCTACTATCTTGCAATACTGGGGACCTGCCTGTAGTTAATCTTGTTATTGTCGTCTTAAAGTGCCTAATTTACTTCACATATACTCAGGACGACAGTTGTTTTCATGAGCACATACAATACTAACTTCTCAATAACACACAATTTAATCAGACTACACATTATTTGAATAGAGAGATATAGAAGCTATGACGAACAAAGGGAGCTAATCTTGAGGACATTATTAAACTTAATTCTAAGTCTGTAAAATACTTACATTTCGTTTAGTTTCTGAATTATTTCATAAAGCGTAAGCTTCCGTTTGATGCATAATACACTGCCATACCTTTTTCCATTCCAAAGCTATTGTAATTTATACGTAACAATTTGCACTCTACTTTTTTACCCTAATGCTTAGTTTGAATATAATTGTATTTTTCTGATTGTTTGTACGTTGTGATCGTGTTAGTCATATATTTATTCATATATCTCGATTCGGACTCACGCAATTCTAGCCTCAAGGTTGAACCAGTTAGCCTACCGTGTCAAAGCCTTAACCTAGATCGAGGAAATTCTTCTCCTGTATGTTCTGGGCAGACAGATGAAGGACGTAACAACACAATGTTCACTAGCTTATACCTCATTCTAAATATGTCAGTGATACACAACTTAATACTGCAAGTGGAAGTTCGTACTAAACGCATTTGCGACCAAATTGAATGCTACACATTCTAGCACCTGTCAAGCTTTCAAATCAACTTATTAACAAACAGAACCGATTACTTGATGATCACTCACCTTTGGGTCCAAACAGGGCTTGGTAACACGGAGTCTGACAATAGGGTTTACCATCATGCTGAAATATAAATAAATATCATATTGATTAGCAGTTGCAAAAAGTCACTCTATTATGTCCTTAGTTTACATCAACTCCATAATAAAATTTACATTTCTTATACACAACCACAACATCCGAACAATATACATAACATTTTAATTCTCATTATGTCTCACTGAACAAAACACTGAGAAAGTTCATTGACTAACACTTTTCTGTTGAAAAGAATTAATTGATATGTTGTAAAATGCTATGTGGATAGTGATATCTCATCGGCTTCAGACCAGCAGTACGAAACCAAAGCTATCACACTGATACACCGTTTACTATTTCAAAAAGACCAGTTCACACTACCGTTTCGGTGAATGTAATGACCAAAACTAACACTACTAAAGAACGTGACAAAGAACATTCCACAGAACCCACTAGGAGATCCTAATCAATGAGAATAATATTCAAGATAACACATTTTCACAGATTGCTCATAGGCATTAATAAGACTTACGCGGTTGTGCCGTACTTCTTTATCATTCTATTTTTTGTGTCTCTCAGTAAATACTCCTTCGAATCAGTATAAAGTAAATGAAGAAAAAAACCCCACCAGTCATCTTTCAAGTATTGCTAGAACGATTTGACTTGAAAATTTCAAATAAATTGACCTTCCAATAGATTGCTCACAATAATACCTTATTCGTAATAATCCAATGAGTAAAACGTCGGATTTATGACACCTTGCGACTTAGTGAAAGTCACTTTTTCCAGAGAACAAATAACTAGCAAGTCAGTTTAAATAAAAGCACAGGAAATAAATTAGACCAAATATTTGCCAAATACAAACAAGTAGTCATACTAATGTTATATTAGGTCAAGGGTGAATCGACGCGAAGCGAAGCTGAATCAAATAAGAAGTGAAAATAAGATAAATTGAAGTAATCATGTTGACAAGAAAGATAATTATTTAATGGGATGCAAAATTAGGCAGTATGAAGTGATGGATACTCTCAGACGTACTTCCCGTTTGAACAATATTATAATTATTTTAAGCCAACTTATTCATGAAAACAATACGGTAAACAAAGACACTTACTTCACAGTGGGAACCCGCAGTCAGCGTTTTTTTGCACTTTTCGCATTTCAAACACGGACGATGCCAGTCTTTTCCAAGTGAACTGACCCGCTCAGCTATTTAATATAATTGCATACTATTAAACCTACCAAAGTAGACCTCCTTATTGCATGAAGGGCATTTCATGGCTGATAAACCCAGGTAACAAAAACAGAAGGGAGAAATTATACCGACAAAACGCTAGCACGACCTACAGCTTACACAACGTAACTTCTCTCATGCTTTTATTGTTTATCCAATCGTATCGGTCTCACCGTCATGTCACATGGTTTTCTGACCACTATTTTCAAGGCCATCAACGACCAATTAAAATCACACTTGAGCAGTTGAAGTCCAATGAAATGAATCTGATTGATAGGGGTGTATTGATCAAGTCATACATGAATATGTAGTGACAGATACGTATCTTCAATATATTTCTCTGTCCTCTTGTTTATACCGCATACTATACGAACAACTAGTAGAGAAAGTGAGCTGAACATCTTGATTGAGGACCATACATGCAACGTGTGATTTGAGTGCGATGGGAGAGTGTACGGATTAAGAAATGATCTACTTCCCGGAAATATATTGAAAGTTAACAAGCGACGTTAAACATGAATTTGAAGTATTCTCTCTTCAGAATCTGCACTTACGTAGAGGACAAACTGAAACATCTGTTATCAGTGTCCATGTTTTGCAGATTCTGAATTATTTTAGTATGGAAATATTAGTGAAAAATCTATTAGTATAGGGAATGAAAAACTATTTCTGAATTCGGAATACCAGTCAAAATGGTGGCAAGTCAATAAACAATATGTATGTGTATGTAGATCAACTTTTTCCCTTAAATGTAATAAGATGTTTTCTGAGTATCATTGATTGGGTTAGTTATTGAGATATATCCTGTACATATGAGAATGAGAATGAAAAACGTTAGTGTAAGCTTAAATTTAGCAAAAGTCCAGGGTAAAAGAGGTGACCGTATCAACTTTCGAACTCATATGTCTTACTTATTTGTGTGGATTCTTGCGGGTTTGTTTGTAAGAGGTAAATTGTAGCAATGTAAGTTGCCCATGATATGTGTTTTTAGGAGAAAAGAGTTGGTGAACTTGAATAGATCATTATTATCTCTTAAATTCACTGCTGTTTTTCGCAATGAACTATCTTACGTGTATATCGTACTGCAATCCAGTGTCTCACTATACAAGGAAACTGAAGAATGAATACAGTTCTTTCCGTCTTCAAATCTGTTTCCTCTCTTTGTGGCGCATATGTATTTGGTTCCCCGTTGTGCCAATCGTCTGTATCCAAATAATAGTAATAATATACCTTAATACAACGATGTGGCCGAAGTAACCACTTCTCACCGTCAATTACGGACTTACAACTGAGAGTGAAAAGTAAAACAAATTTTAAGCAGCGAGTTTATTTCATAAGTTAAAACATCAAAATCAAGTAATTTAACAGTACTTGAGGGAGCGATCTATTGAAATTGTCTGAATAAGAGACATCAAAAGTAGTCACGTAGAATGTATAAACAAAACTTGAAATAACAAATTTGTTATCTATTTGTAGATGTGACTGCTGGCCACTGATCCGTAACCTGAAAACAAAATGTGCCAATATAGTAGATGAATATTAATTTTTGACAGTGACTTTCTCCTACACAATTTTTTTTCTAAAATAGACAAAATCAGGACCGATATTTCACTCCACTTAAAAACATACCTTTGCAAGTTGAAGGCAATATACACAGCCCTCCTATCTACTATCTTGCAATACTGGGGACCTGCCTGTAGTTAATCTTGTTATTGTCGTCTTAAAGTGCCTAATTTACTTCACATATACTCAGGACGACAGTTGTTTTCATGAGCACATACAATACTAACTTCTCAATAACACACAATTTAATCAGACTACACATTATTTGAATAGAGAGATATAGAAGCTATGACGAACAAAGGGAGCTAATCTTGAGGACATTATTAAACTTAATTCTAAGTCTGTAAAATACTTACATTTCGTTTAGTTTCTGAATTATTTCATAAAGCGTAAGCTTCCGTTTGATGCATAATACACTGCCATACCTTTTTCCATTCCAAAGCTATTGTAATTTATACGTAACAATTTGCACTCTACTTTTTTACCCTAATGCTTAGTTTGAATATAATTGTATTTTTCTGATTGTTTGTACGTTGTGATCGTGTTAGTCATATATTTATTCATATATCTCGATTCGGACTCACGCAATTCTAGCCTCAAGGTTGAACCAGTTAGCCTACCGTGTCAAAGCCTTAACCTAGATCGAGGAAATTCTTCTCCTGTATGTTCTGGGCAGACAGATGAAGGACGTAACAACACAATGTTCACTAGCTTATACCTCATTCTAAATATGTCAGTGATACACAACTTAATACTGCAAGTGGAAGTTCGTACTAAACGCATTTGCGACCAAATTGAATGCTACACATTCTAGCACCTGTCAAGCTTTCAAATCAACTTATTAACAAACAGAACCGATTACTTGATGATCACTCACCTTTGGGTCCAAACAGGGCTTGGTAACACGGAGTCTGACAATAGGGTTTACCATCATGCTGAAATATAAATAAATATCATATTGATTAGCAGTTGCAAAAAGTCACTCTATTATGTCCTTAGTTTACATCAACTCCATAATAAAATTTACATTTCTTATACACAACCACAACATCCGAACAATATACATAACATTTTAATTCTCATTATGTCTCACTGAACAAAACACTGAGAAAGTTCATTGACTAACACTTTTCTGTTGAAAAGAATTAATTGATATGTTGTAAAATGCTATGTGGATAGTGATATCTCATCGGCTTCAGACCAGCAGTACGAAACCAAAGCTATCACACTGATACACCGTTTACTATTTCAAAAAGACCAGTTCACACTACCGTTTCGGTGAATGTAATGACCAAAACTAACACTACTAAAGAACGTGACAAAGAACATTCCACAGAACCCACTAGGAGATCCTAATCAATGAGAATAATATTCAAGATAACACATTTTCACAGATTGCTCATAGGCATTAATAAGACTTACGCGGTTGTGCCGTACTTCTTTATCATTCTATTTTTTGTGTCTCTCAGTAAATACTCCTTCGAATCAGTATAAAGTAAATGAAGAAAAAAACCCCACCAGTCATCTTTCAAGTATTGCTAGAACGATTTGACTTGAAAATTTCAAATAAATTGACCTTCCAATAGATTGCTCACAATAATACCTTATTCGTAATAATCCAATGAGTAAAACGTCGGATTTATGACACCTTGCGACTTAGTGAAAGTCACTTTTTCCAGAGAACAAATAACTAGCAAGTCAGTTTAAATAAAAGCACAGGAAATAAATTAGACCAAATATTTGCCAAATACAAACAAGTAGTCATACTAATGTTATATTAGGTCAAGGGTGAATCGACGCGAAGCGAAGCTGAATCAAATAAGAAGTGAAAATAAGATAAATTGAAGTAATCATGTTGACAAGAAAGATAATTATTTAATGGGATGCAAAATTAGGCAGTATGAAGTGATGGATACTCTCAGACGTACTTCCCGTTTGAACAATATTATAATTATTTTAAGCCAACTTATTCATGAAAACAATACGGTAAACAAAGACACTTACTTCACAGTGGGAACCCGCAGTCAGCGTTTTTTTGCACTTTTCGCATTTCAAACACGGACGATGCCAGTCTTTTCCAAGTGAACTGACCCGCTCAGCTATTTAATATAATTGCATACTATTAAACCTACCAAAGTAGACCTCCTTATTGCATGAAGGGCATTTCATGGCTGATAAACCCAGGTAACAAAAACAGAAGGGAGAAATTATACCGACAAAACGCTAGCACGACCTACAGCTTACACAACGTAACTTCTCTCATGCTTTTATTGTTTATCCAATCGTATCGGTCTCACCGTCATGTCACATGGTTTTCTGACCACTATTTTCAAGGCCATCAACGACCAATTAAAATCACACTTGAGCAGTTGAAGTCCAATGAAATGAATCTGATTGATAGGGGTGTATTGATCAAGTCATATATGAATTTTCGCAGTTTTTGAAATCATGAGGCAGTTGAAGCTAGACACCATTAAAAACGTGGAAGCACCGGACGGCCGTTTCGTCCTCGTATGGGACTCCTCAGCAGTGCGCGTCCACGATCCCGCACCTCTCGGGGCTCGAACCCAGGACCTACTGGCTTCGCGCGCGAGCACTTAACCACTAGACCACTGACCGAGCGTCCAACGGTGTTAATGTCTAACCTCAACCAATCCACGAAGTTGCGCCACTGTACGCTATTGTCTTCAGTGAGTTGTTATCTCACAACTGACCGGTTGAACTCCACTGGTAACAGCTTCTCACTAGAACTTCAGGAGTTTTTCCTGAAGTCAGTCACTAGTGAGCAGTTGATTATTATTATCAGAATGGGTTTTGTGGAGAATTTTTAGAATTTTCACAGTTTTTGAAATCATGAGTCAGTTGAAGCTAGACCACCATTGAAAACCTGGAAGCACTTGACGGCCGTTTCGTCCTGGTATGGGACTCCTCAGCAGTGCGCATCCACTATCCCGCACCACGCGGGGCTCGAACCCAGGACCTACTGGCTTCGCGCGCGAGCACTTAACCACTAGACCACTGAGCCGGCATCCCATACCAGGATGAAACGGCCGTCCAGTGCTTCCAGGTTTTCAATGGTGGTCTAGCTTCAACTGACTCATGATTTCAAAAACTGTGAAAATTCTAAAAATTCTCCACAAAACCCATTCTGATCATACATGAATATGTAGTGACAGATACGTATCTTCAATATATTTCTCTGTCCTCTTGTTTATACCGCATACTATACGAACAACCAGTAGAGAAAGTGAGCTGAACATCTTGATTGAGGACCATACATGCAACGTGTGATTTGAGTGCGATGGGAGAGTGTACGGATTAAGAAATGATCTACTTCCCGGAAATATATTGAAAGTTAACAAGCGACGTTAAACATGAATTTGAAGTATTCTCTCTTCAGAATCTGCACTTACGTAGAGGACAAACTGAAACATCTGTTATCAGTGTCCATGTTTTGCAGATTCTGAATTATTTTAGTATGGAAATATTAGTGAAAAATCTATTAGTATAGGGAATGAAAAACTATTTCTGAATTCGGAATACCAGTCAAAATGGTG